GAACCTACCGAAGCTGCCGTGCCCGGTAAGCACCTGCGTCAGACGGAAGGTGAGGACGCCGTGGCGTCTCTCAAGCCACTCCTCAAAGAGGGGTCTTACCGCTGCTATGGTAGCGTGCCCGGCCCTCGGTTGCGACAGTCGTTGTCTCCACTCTGCCATGAGATCTCGCCGGAGCTCATTCCGCCACGCACTTATTTGGCGCGGCAGAGGATCTTCGCCCCGGCGACGCGCGTCTGCGCGCAAACTGTAGACGCGCGCGAGCGCCTTCGCTTCTAGATCCCACGGCGGTGATCCGGCAAGGAGGTTCGCCGCCTCCCCGGAGATCGTGCGATACCCGCGGATTACTCGTATAGCCATGACCCTCTGGGACGCGACCAGCGTACGAGCCGGCCGCCGCTTCAAGTCCGGCGCCCACACAGGGGCACCGTAGAGGGCCATGGATCGCACAATCCCCATATACAACCTCCGGCAGGAGGCGTTTGGCCCCCCGAGGTTGGGAAGGAGCCGCTTGAGCGCGGCCCCAGACCGTTCCAACTTAGGGGCCAAACGACGAAAATGCTCCGTGAAGTTCCATCGGCTGTCGAGGACGAGACCCAGGTACTTCATCGCCGACTCGACGCCGATGGTAACTCCTCCTGCCGTTACTTGGGACCCACCTGGAGGTGGCGCGCTCCGACGGCCATAGAAGCACATGGCCTCGGACTTGTGGAGCGCCACCTCGAGTCCCAACTGCCGGATCCTTGCAACGACTGTCGCAACCGCTTGTGACATCAGGTCGGCCGCCGCCTGATGCGACCTCCCGTTCGCCAGCACCAGCGTGTCGTCAGCATAGCAGACAATGCTGACGCCGCTCGGGAGGTCGGTGCGTAGCACCCAATCGTACCCGATGTTCCACAGGAGAGGTCCCAGGACCGATCCCTGTGGGACACCGCGCGACACCTCTCGCCGATTCCACACGCCCCGGTGACCGGGGTAGATGACACATCTGTCCGTCAAGTAAGCCTCGACTACACGACGGAGATAGGCAGGCACCCGGTGGTACCGGAGTGCCTCCAAAATGCAGCTCCAGGGCAGCGAGTTAAAGGCGTTGGCGATGTCCAGAGACACCGCCACGACGACTCGCCTCCCGGCCAACGCTGTCCCCGTCGTGAGGTCCCTCACGCGCATGATGGCGTCCACCGTGGAGCGCCCTCTGCGGAAGCCGAACTGGCCGTCCGCTAAATCCGGCCCCCTTCCAGACAGGTGCCCGACGAGGCGGTCTGAGATTATCCTCTCGAACAGCTTTCCCACCTCGTCGAGCAGCACAATGGGCCGGTACGCGGACGGAGAGTCCGCAGGACGCCCCGGCTTCTTCACGAGGACCAGTTTACCCGTCTTCCACGACAGCGGAAACTGGCCTCTCTCCAAACATGCGCTGAACAGACCAAGTAGTCGAGGCCTGAGAGCCTCCGAGGCCAGGACCCAGACCTTGGCATGCAGCCCGTCAGGTCCTGGGGCGGTATTCTTGCCGCTCAGCCGGCGCACCGCCACTCTCAAATCTACCTCGGTCACTTCCGGAGCGGATTCGTCGTCGTCGTCGATGTAGCCCGCATTGGGCACCGCAGGGGGCGGAGGCATAGCCGGAGGCGTGTAACCCATCTGTGGTCGGGGGAATAGCGCCCCAACCACTTCGTCCACGACCTCCGGCCGGAGACTCTGAGTCAGTGGGGGCGCCCAGGTGCGGAGCTTATCACGCACCATCCGGTAGGGGCGTCCCCACGGGTCTCTGTTCAGAGTCTCCAACATCTCCTCGCGGGCCCGATCTTTGGCCCGCCGGATCTCCACCCTGAGGGTGGCCTTCGCCGCCCTGTACTCCTCGTATAGCTCCGCCTCTCTGGTTTCGGCGTCCAGAGGGCGGAGACGGAGCCTGCGGTGCCTGGTGTATCGGCGTCACTATTAATGTGGTAAGCATTTTGTTTTTTATTCATTGTTTTATATATGTACTTGTATTTATCTATATTAATCTATAAAAAAGTACTCATAGTAGGTATGTGTGATTATAATATCTATCTTTATGTATTTTCCATGTTTGCATAGACTTCTTTAAAATAGGCATGTTGTAACATAATACTTCTCACTGTACAATAACATAAAACTTGAAAACATGTGTTTATTCTAACTGGAGTTTATTTTCAGACCTCAAGAAGCAACTATGTTTGTCATGTTTGTGTGCTGTATGCGGGCAAATAGACAGACAGTGCAGGACTTATCACGAAACTTGCAGGAATTGGGTTCGGACAACAATGCAGTAGCCCCTTATATTCAAGTGGTTAGCCCACCAGAGCCACCACCATTACCACCTGTTTTAAGCAGGCCGCTTCAAATGGAAAGTACTACCATATTATTACCCAATTATACAGAACATATATTAAAGAAACGTACTTCCATACACAAACTTAATAAAATACACTTTGTAATAAAAATATAAAAGTGAATTATTACGTAGTTTTATTTTATTTATTCTGCTTAATAAATAAATCATTATTCTTTATACATATTATTTTGTTTTATTTTATAAATAAATAAAAAAATAATTAAAACGCCATGGTTTTTAAAAGCAAAATCTTATTTCGTGCACTTATGGCCAGTAATCTGACTAAAGGTTTAGTGAAACTATTTTCGTCTTGTTTGTTATAATTACGAGTTCTTCATGTGTTTTATTTTTTGCAATTTAATTTAATAATATTCACGAATGTAAACACCAAAAATCATTGATGTACATTGAATTCAATAACTATGCAAACGCCCATACAAAAGTTGGCCATGTCCTTTGTCCATAAAAAGAATTGTAAGCTTCTTTAAAGGCAGTTGTTCCGAGAGCTCAGTGCGAGTTATTTCACCTATTTTCACTTGAGAAATCGTAGCTAATGTAAGAACATACTAAGCAATATTTCCATGTCCCCGTGGTGGCCCGGAGGTTAAGTCAAAGGCAATTCTTATGCATAAAGGTGTGGGTTCAAAATCTTGCAACTTTTTCCGAGAAATTATGTACCTTCTATGATTATTCAGAGACCACTAACATGCGGTGGATGAAAACATCGTGAGGAACCATGGACTTCTAATTATCAGTTTGAAATCGCCAACCCGTCTTGCGCAAGAGTGGTGTTTAATGCTCAAACCTACTTCGTGTGAGAAGAGGCCTTTGCTCAGCAGTGGACACTTATAGGCTGATGATGATGGTGACTTTGCCATACAAATTGTATCGGCGCACGATAGCAGCTGCGTGCAACAGTTTGTTTTTTAAATATTGTTTGTATAACCTCCTTAATCTAAGGTAAAAGTCAACGAAAACATTATATTTATTATTTTAAGTAGCTTTTTACCTACTAGTTTATGTTGTGAAGTAAAAGTTTTAAAAGGAAAAAGTAATCGTTATCAAATATGTGCATACGTAATATAATTATAGTTTCAAACTGACCTCAACACCCTTCAAACCAAATCTGTGTTTTTTTCCTCAATTTTAAATGTTAAATCATTAACAGATAATGTTATTTGGTAGATAATTTTAGCTCCAGAACTTGAAAGATAAACCATTAGGGGACGGTTTTCGAAAAACAAATGTAGGTAGGTAAATGTGACATTCCGGGCATCGGGGATCGAGAAATGATCTCCGGCCACCGTAAGCGCAGGTCTGCGGAAGGCGCGTAGCGTTCCGCGCGCGCCTTAAAGAGCCAATAGACCACCGCCACCGCCACCACACAGACAAGGCCCTATAGGGCTGATGTTCAGTCGGGGTTGCGGGGTAAGCGCAATGAGGCACCGCGACCTCGGCCCAGAGCAGGAGAAGGAACAGGGGGTTTTTAGTCAGTAAGAGTCTGACACTCTCTCTCGCCTTATCCTGGGCGGGAGAAGTCATTAGATGATTTTCCCCTGACAAAAAAGTAAGTAGTTATGTATTTACATATGTAGTAACTAATTAGGTAACCTAGTTGCACATTGTGGGACATAATTTTTGGGATTGTCAATTCACTTCTGCAATTGATTACTTTGCGAGGAATATTTGATTTTTTTTAAACTTTGTCCCAATTTGTAGTAGTAGTATTTCTAATGTGATGATGATGAGGCTCTCACTCATACTTTATTCTGTTGCATACATTTTCAAATATCGCAACGCGACACCACCCCAACTTTAAATGACAAATGACATCGTCATTTCCATAAAATTATAAAAAAAATCGCTAGCCTGACTCACTTTTCTACCAAAGATATTGCTAGGAATAACCCAACGAAATTCCAATACACCTTTCGAATTTCTTGTTGAGAATTCGCGCACACTTTCGCAGAATGTTATGTCATGTCGTCAGCTTAAAATGTTGACGTAGAGGTCAGATCCAAGAATGTGGTAATACATGGCCAATAAAAACAACAAAAAAATTACGTCTTCGCGAAAGAGTTAAAAAAATAAGTAGATAATAGCGTCTCTTTTTTTATATAGGTATAGTTAGTAAAATAAAAATACATCACGGATCTATGATAATAATATTTTTCGAAATAAAAAAGTTTGTTTATATTTAAAATGATGAATCACATGTAAATCCCAAGTAAGCATTCCGATAGCGCTCGCGACCTTCGTAAGGCTGTCTACACACTTCACGACAAAGTTTTAGAGTTCAATTTAATCATCCATCTAAATTGTTCGTAATTTGCTTTGATTTCTTTAAAGATTTATACCTGCTATTACTAATAACGTGTGGTATTTAGCGTGTAATATAAGTTTGTAGGCATATTAATTAAACAAAAGCTTGGTAAATTCAAGAAATGTGATAGATAGATATTTCCTGAGGATAAAATGATGGCCAATATTTTTAAGCGCTATTTATTAAATTAGTATTTCGTAAAACACCAGTATTGGTATGATAATTATATTTTTTAAGCAGGTTAAATGGTGGTCTCCACGACTAAATTATAGAATTGTGTAGTACATGATATATCTAAAGTCGCAAGTGTGTAATCAGTTGTTTTGGAACAAAAACAAGATCACGGCCGGCGGGTGGTCATTCGGATTCTCGGACAGCTTGAGACTACACTTAAATAGCAGTGCGATATTTTTATAAAACACGTGAAGTAAATATTTAAAAATATTTTCAATTCGGACAACTTCAAAGTTGCATTAGAGTGAAGTATTTTGATATTAGTTACTACTGTTGAACTGTAAAATGGTGTCGAAGATCTTAATTATTGCCTTGATTGTTGGGACCGCCAGTGCGGCGACTTGGATGGGCATGCCTCCAAAGAAACCTGCAGAACTGGGTGAGTTTATTTTGAGTTTTGTTTGTGTCAGATGCACTATTTTATCTTGTTTATCTATTTATTATTGTTTACGGAACATTTGCTTTATTAGAAACTGTTGTTATACTTTATTGAACGTTTTAAAAGTAAGAGATTCTAAATAGGACGTAACTAACTAGTACAAAGTTCCTGATGACATTTTGGCGCCACCATCATTAGCTTGGTGCTTGTCTTTTGTTTTTTAGTATTGGAAATAAATGTAACATATTTTTTAAATATAATTGGCAAATACAACCCTAAATTCAATAAGAATAAATTTTAATTTTGTATACAGTTATTGTAATCTTAATGCGTTAAGTGTTGCTAATTCTATTTTCCAATAAATTTTGATGTAAAAAATATTAATACTTAGGTACTTGGTGGACATTTTTTATCGTAAGCGATGTAATCTGAACAAATATAATTAAAAGTGAATATTAAATTAAAGTTGTATTCACAGCCGATTATCTGACTATGCAACTGTACAGTTTTTCGGCTCATTTAAGATTATTTTGTTTAATAATTATTATTACTTATGAACCTCGGTTTCTGTATTTGTTTTCCTATTGATGTGCATAAATAATAAAGCTCACAAACAATATTCGTTATAACATAACTTGTTCTTATTCTTTATTTTGACTTTAATTAGGTAGCCGTTCTATTAATTACTCACGCAATAATGTACGGGGCAGGAGAAGGACTGGGATGGTTTTTTAGTCAGTAAAAGTTTGACGCTCCCTCCCTTCTCACCCCACCCAGGGCAAGAGCAGACATTTGATAATATAATCCTTACAAAAATCTGTTAATTAATAAATATCGTTTATTAATGCCGGTAGCAGTTTGTTTGTGACGGTAGTTCGAATTCTTTCGGAGTCAGTTCTGAATACAACCAAACAACCACTTTGGTAGTAACTCTGTTCTATTGACAATTTTAGTCCCTTTACTTTTTAAATATCGACCAAAATGATATGTTCCGCCATTAAAATTAAGTAGCTATAGCTAGATAATACTTCAGGGCCGTCACACATACATACCAATTATAGATTAACAAAATGGTGTAAAGAAATGTCAACTTTATAAGGAGAGATTTAAAAACTATTTCTATTTAACAAACGAAAAAATTTTAAATATACAGTCTGATGTTTTTTTATTTTCTTTCAGCTCACAAAAGCGGTTGTTACGTTGAAGAAATAAACGACGTTATCCCCTTTGGTGACACTGTCTCGCCTATTGGCGTGTGTTACAGCATCTCCTGTGGAAGAGTCATGGACTATGCATCGTGAGTAATCTATTTTTATCTCTTTCTGTTACTCTGTTCCATTGTTATTTTGTGAAGTAAGAGAGGGACAGATAATAAATAACATTTAGAACATTGAATAGACCACAAAATCGTTTACGCCAAAGAGGTTTTATGCAGCCACTTGAAGTTATAATGTAATCCTTTGGACTTAAAAAATAATAAGAAGAATTAGCAACAAAAATGTTCAAATTTTAAACTAAACAAAAATGGAACTTTGATTTTGTTTTCGACTCTCGTCTGTTAATGTTCCAAAAATAAATCTAACCTATTTTTTTTCTTTTAGGTGCGGTATTGTAGCGACTGATGATCCCCACTGCTACGTGACTGATGAAGACTTAAGTAAACCCTACCCACATTGCTGTCCTGATGTCAAATGTGATGTTGACAACAATTTATTTTAGACTTAACTATTTATAATTTTAGGTTTAGTTTCCAACCGTGTTAGAATCTTGGCGTTAGTTTTGTAAAAGGTGAATAAAGTAAGTTTGTGATTTGATGAAATTGTTGTGTGCCATATTTTAATTAGTGCCAATAATATATTTATTGATAATAATATATTTGATGTGTTGAAGTTTGAAGTGGATTTAGGATAAGCGTTTGACGACGCAAAGAAAATAATTTTCGACAAAGTGACGATATTGTGTGGATTTATTTCCAACAACGCCATGATTTTAACAGGGGGATATCTAGAGTCATTGTAAAATGACGAATAGATGGAGTTCCTTTTCAAAGAGTTTTATACTCTAGAAGCTATCTTGCCACCAAATTGTTAATTTAATTTGTTTTTATTAAATTAGAAATAACTATAAAAGTTTTTGAGTTTTATTTTGAATCTTGTCTGTCCATCTTTTTTTCTTTCTTTCCTTCTTTCTTTCTTTCTTTCATTCTGTTCTGTCACATTACATTATACAGATCATACTGTATAAATGCAATAAAAATGTCCTACTAAAATGAAATAATTTATGAATATGTTTACGATAATAGACGCTTTATTTGAATTATAGATTTTGAGGTTATGTTATGCTCGATGACAAACGGACTGATTAGTAGAGAAAATTATGTAATAGTGATAATGACTGGGTTTGAAACAATGAAGCGATTAATTTATTTTTGCAAATGGACCGTAAAACTGCTCATTCACTTGTCAACATTATAGAAAATAAATATAAAGCCTTATATGAAATAATATATTTCGTAAGTCAGTAATAAAGTAGTAGTCAGTAGTAAATAAAAAAAACAAAGCAATATAAATATAAAAAAAAAATACTTTTACTTAGATGACTCAAGAGTTTTCCCTTTGCCAAATCTTCATGAAATCCCAGGTAAACATAAACAATTTTAGTTCGTGAAATGGTTACAAGTAGGTCATCATTAAATTCATAATTTCACATTACGTCATCAGCCTGCGAAGGCCTCTTCTTACACGGAGAAGGTTTGAGCACTTTAGTCACAAGATTAGCGATTTGGAACTTGTGATTAAAAATTATAAGTCCAGGTTTCCTCACGTTGTTTCCCTTCACCGTAAGTTAATGTTTTGTATAATAATAATTATTATTACATAAGAAAGTACTTATAACTCTGCAAGTCATATTGGTAACTTTCCAGGTTTCCAACCCGTACCCTCATTCAGTAGAATGGGTCGCCTTATCCTGCAGGCCATCATAACATCAATCCCTAAATCTCCAAAACCCCCGGGCCACCACGACGTTTATTCACTATGATTTGGTATGAAAAAAGCCTACCACGCTTTCTATGAAAGGGTGTTAAAAAAAGTCGTACTTTTTTTAAATCAATGTTCAGAATAAATGAAATAATGAAAATGTGTGGAACGGGAGGTCGCCTTGACCAGTTACGTTTACTTTTTCAATGTACAAAATCACGACGTCCCACAATATTTTAAAATCAAATGACATCAAAAGTAGTTCATTCGATAAGAATATTTAGATAAAAAATACTGTGTAATGTTTAAAATTAATCTATCTTTACCACATGTTAATCTAAGATGTGGACCAACAATATCATCCCGTCATATTATATATTTTTTTGGAGCTCAGGCCATCTGCAAGATACTGCATCATACAGATATGATACTTATTGTTGTTTGATGAGAATCGACTTCTTGGACTGTTGATACAAATCTGTTGCTGGTCTCGGACTTGCAATCCTGCAAGCACGAGTTATTTTATAGCACGAGCTCTTGGATTTATAGAAGGTCGAAGCGTGGACTTCACTAATCGACTACCAAATTTATTTAATGAAATTTATTTTAAAATAGTATTTTGATACATGATAATATTTATCGCTTTGTGGTCGGATAAAGTCCATCTCATTTTTTGAAGAGCCTATGGGATTTATCCAGTTCCGTTTGCCGTCGAGTGGCTTTTAAAAGAAGGGTTTCACTACAAAAATATCCCCTAATGTTGTTCCAAATTCAAATTTGGCTATTAGCTCATCATCGCCTTGAGCTTATGGGACTGACACCCGGTTTCCGTTATCTGATTGGTTGACTGAATTATCAACAACCAATCAGATAACTTGACAAGAGAACAGGAGATCAGTTAATTTTAGCGTTGAAAAGCCTTTCAGAAACCGGGTGTTAGTCTCAGTCATCCTAAATGTGCAGATTCTTATTTGGTTTCGCTTTGGAAAACCAATCTCAGAAAACAAATTTTCATCACGGTCTTCTTGGCATCACGTGGTTGAAAAACTCACATTTTTAATGGCGAGCTCTACAAACGATAAATCCTGTAAGTTATCAGTTATGTTTTGAAACAAAAATAAGATCACGACCGGTAGGCTATCATTCCAGTCTTCGGACGGCTCGAAACTGCACTTAAATTGAAGTACTTAAAAATATCTTAACATTCAGTATTTTATTAATATCTGCCTTTGTTAGAATATAAAATGGTTTCAAAGATTTTTATTATTGCCTTGATTGTTGGAAGCGCTTGTGCAGCGACATGGAGGAGCAATCATGCACAGAAACCTCCAGAGCTAGGTAAGTTATATTTTATTTACAAATTTATATCGACTTCAAGTGCCAATAAAACGGTGTAGTACAGAATTAGGTTTCTGTTTCTACATAAGTGTTATCTATACTAATATTATAAAGAGGTAATTTGTAAGTTTGTATGTAGGGGGTAATCTTTGGAACCGCTGGTCGGATTGCCGAAATTCTTTCACTGACAGATAGCTACAATGTTCCTGTGTGCTATAAGCTACAAAACATCACGTTACAATCAAATGGAGCCGAGCAGCGAGCTTGCTGAAATCGCGCGAGAGTAGTAGTGTTTAAGTTTATAAATGATTATTGAATTACTCTTATTGTAGATAAATACTGTCCTAAAATCTATAGAATATTGGGGTTGTGCTGAAGCAGGAGAAGGAACAGGGTGATTTTTTCTCCCTCTTGCGTCACCCAGGGCGAGAGAAATAATTTAATGAATTACCCCCTTAAAAAGTATATAGAATAAATTATGTTAATAGTTTATAACCGGCCAACCGGCTGCCGTGCAACTTGTTGCGCGTTCGATTCCCATGCGTACGCACTCTTGGTTTGATCCACAAATTGCATTGTTGTTCCGGCTCTGGGTATCATGTGTATGTCAAATTGTGTGTTTTAAAACGCACCCACGACATAGTAACAGAACAAAAACAGTATATAGAGTGTGTGTAAAAATATGTGTATACATTAAGTCGAATTTAAATCGTATTTATCCTATATTGGTCCTGAATAAAAACATAGTGTCAATAATTTATTTTTTTCAGCTCACAAAGAAGGTTGTTATATTAAACAAATAAACGATGTTATTCCGTTTGGCGCGTCGATCACGGCTCCTGATGGATGTTACCGCATCTCTTGTGGCACAACTATGATGTCCGGTGCATCGTAAGTTATCCGTACTTTTTCTTTCATATATTTATTGAACTCGCGACAGTGGAAGAATAATTTTAAAGCGGTCAAGTAGTTTAGGAGCTTATTCAGTCCTAAAGAAACCTATCTTGTTGGGTAGCCTTAGATACCCAACAAGCTAGGTTTCTTTATAAAAATCTCATCTTCTTTATAAAGCTCCCAGCTTAAAGAAGAGCAAAAGCTTTAAAAAGGCTAAGGAGTGGTGGATATTCTTCTAAAACAAACCCAAATGGCCATCATCACCTAAAAGGGGCACTGTGTCTTCTAGTAGACGTTTTCCGAAATTAAAAAAATACTCAAATTCAAATTCGAAATTCAAATAAATAAGTAAATAAATTACTAACTACCTTGATCGAAGTCTCTTGCGCACTTCAGGGACCATCGTGCGAATATAGCCCAATTTTTATTAGAACTCCTTACTTTATTTCTGATTTCAGATTGTATATACTCTAAGTTGTTTGATAAGGGATTAATAATAATCTTTACACGGGGACCCAGAATTGTATTCACAATGTCCCGTATCTTTTAGTTGTGCTTAAATGTATGGAATTGGATTGTAAAGAGCAGTGCAATTAAAAAACCTTATTTTTTTCTTTCAGGTGCGGTGCTGTCGCAACTGGTGATCCTAAATGCTACGTAACTGAAGAAGACTTGAGCAAACCCTACCCGCAATGCTGTCCTGACATCAAGTGTGATGTTGATAACAATTTATTATAAACCCGGTAATTTCTAAGCAAAACTTATTATGCTGATGCAGTTTGAACAAGAAGATTTCAAATTTGATATAATTATAATTTTTGGAACACAAAAAAATATGTTAAATTTTAAAATAAATTTGCGGTGAAAATACAAAAAAAAGTAGTTATTAAAGGGCCAATAATGCAGGGCTCTATATAGGTCGCGTTTACGCGCGTTTTTCTTTCATTGTACATTGCTGCAGCGGCTCGTGCAATAAATTAAACAAATTAATATTATCAGCAATGTATAACGGCCCGCAAGACGCGCTTTGCAACGCGACTTCTAAATAAATGAGATCTTGGAGTTATTGTTTTATGACGAAAAGATTTTCACTTTTTAAAGATATTATATTGTAAAAGTTATCTTGACAAAAAAATTTTGTTATTGATATAATTTTTATTTTACTCGTATCATTTTTATTTTAAATTATCCTTGTGCTATGCATAACTTATTCTGCTAGCTTACGTCACAAGTAAGCCCTTATTATTATAGCCCTTGTATGTGTAAGGTTGTCACCGCCTGTCGTATAAGTAAAAATTATCGGACGAATGTGGGTGTGTCAATTATTGCTTATTGCATTTACATTTTAAGGACATTTTTATTTCAGAAACAGTAGCAAAAAACAAAGAATTATATTACTGACTTTAAATTACACTATTACAGTGCAATATGACTGCATGGTTGGTGCGGTGGCTGGGCAACTGGCTGCCATGCAACGTGTCGCGGGGTCGATTCCCGCACGGAAGAACTCTTTGTGTGATCCACAAATTGTTGTTCCGGGTCTGGGTGTTATGTGCATGTGAATTTGTATGTTTGTAACCGCACCCACGACACAGGAGAAAAAAAAAGCAGTATCATAATTAACACCACAGATGGGGCCCAACAGGGCTGACGTTTAGCTGGGGTTGCGGGTCAAGCGCAATAAGATACCACGGCCTTGGCCTAAATCATGAGAAGGGTTTTTAGTCAGCAAGAGTCTTATATTATATCTCGCCCCACCCTGGGCAAGAAAAGTTATTTGGTGGTTTTCCCTTCACAAAAAAGGTATCATAACTAACAGATTGTATGGCAAAGTATAGTTTTTTTGGTTCACCTGAAGACAATCATGTTCCAAATACAAAAAAATATCACAAGTAAACTGTTGCACTATAAAACATTATGGTAGGTACTTTAATTGTTCTCTGTTTCAACGTCTATGTTATTGTTTGAAGAGCTTAAATTAAATTTGGAATGTAATTTCTTATAAATATGTACCTTATGAGTTTTATAAAGCACTTTATGAATGTGTCCAAAATAGGCGCCGCCTAATGCTTACTGAACCATCTCTTATTTTTCATCTTGTTGCAGCTCTGATCCAGTCTTACGTAGTTCGTTTAATTTCTTACCATATTTTTAAATATTTTATCTGTACTGTAGAAGAGAACGTAAACTTATTTTTGAACGTTTTATTTGAAATATTAACATTTTGGTTAAATCTGTTTATATGCTTGTATTTTTTTTCTTGACAATTTTCTTACTAGGTTTGGTTTACCCGAGCTCGACAAAATCTGTCTTTTTTAAGGTGTACTATACTATACAATCTGTACCCTTTCATTTTACTGAATCAGATTTATACAAGTACTAGGGTAGGTACCTAACCTTCACATAAAAGTAACGAACTTAACAAAAAAAGAATCAGCAAAATTGGTCCAGTCGTTATTGAGTTATGCGCTTACCAACACATTTCGCGATTCATTTTTATATTATAGATTGACCAGAGCCATAAAGAATATGGAATGGATTTTCTCATTACAAAAATGTGCTTTGGAATCAGTTGTATAAACAATTTACTTAATCCAAACTAGCTACAGAATAAACGTTTTCAAAAACTGAACTCTTCGATATGATAATGAGGCTATCATCTATGAAGAATAATTCCAGTTAACCTCTGTGTGACCCTCGAAAGATAAATGCCGTGAAGGTTGCGCATGTATCATTGATTAAACTGAATGTACAAATTGAAAACGGCATGTCATAATTTAAAGTAATGTTTCTTACTGCATCAGACCGCGAACGGAGTAATTAAGATTTATTCAATTACGTGGTAATATGTAGACGAGCGACTTTCTTATATTTTCAGTAGGGTATTTATCAACAGTACCTAACGTGAACAATAATATTAATAAAAAGATTTGAATTTGGAGTATTTTAGTTTAAGTGTGGGACCGAGAGCCATGCTTCGGCACGAATGGGTCGGCTCGACCGGAGTGATACCACGGCCTCACAGAAAACCAGCGTGAAACAACCACAGCGTTGTATTTCGCCGTGTGAGTGAGGTTACCGGAGGCCAAATCCTTCCCCCCCAATCCCTCCTCAATCCCTAAATCTCCAAATCCCTAATCCCTAATCCCTAAAAGGTCAGCAACGCACTCGTAACTCCTCCGTTGCGGGTGTCCATGGGCGGCGCTGATTGCTTACCATCAGGTAATCCGTCTGCTCGTTTGCCGACCAATTGCATTTAAAAATAATTGTTATGGAAATTAGACTTCACGGTACACATTAACAGGGGTTGCGGGGTAAGCGCAATGAGGCACCGCGTCCTCGGCCCAGAGCAGGAGAAGGAACAGGGGAGTTCTTAGTCAGTAAGAGACTGAGACTCGGCCCGTCCCTGGGCGGGAGAAGTCATTTGATGATTTTCCTCACAGAAAAAAAAACGGTACACATTAAAGAAGATATCAGCATTCAAATTTACTAGCAAGATATTCGAGTTTCTATGTTATAGGTCGGCAAATGGGATGACGGATTACCTGATGGTAAGGAATCACCGCCGCAACGACGAAGGATTTACGAGTGCGTTGCTGCCTATTTTGGGATTAGGGTGGAAAGTTAGGGTCAGTTAGCTAACTAACATAATTTGTAAACGATTTTTAGAATTAAAGTTTTTGAAAATTTAGGGTCAGTTAGCTAACTAACATATGCACATTGCTACTTAGATGAAAGCTTTAAATACGAATCATTATCCATTATAATTAAACTGCGCGTGATTGATCCTTCACGTCAATTTATTACAAATTAACGATATCAGTTAGTGTACGCAAATATTACGGGAATAAAAAAAATGATTTAAAAAAAGTAAACCATATTATTGCTCTCAAAATATTGATAATTTTAGCAACTAGGCCCGATAGTGATTTGATTTAAATGTTAAGGTTGATGGGAGAATTACCCAGCTACAATATACAGAGACTGGCTAACAGCGTCAAACTTAAAATGTTACGGTTTTTTAGGCGATGTAAAAGTGATATACAATAAATTTTAATAGCGAAGGTTCATAGTCCTGTAGTCAATGCTATATCACTCTTCTTTGATAGACCAGCGTCAAGTAAAGGCGCTAAGTTGAAGTGTGGGAGAGCTATAATTCAAGATGAATGGAACTTGAACGGAGTGTTACCACGGCTCTCAGGAAACAGTCACAAGTGTGCTGATGGCCTTTTCAGAAGAGATACGCAGTGGAAAAAGATGATAGCTCAATTTATAGGTTTACAAAATGGTTGGTAACGCAATAGTAATGGAACAAAACCTGGCCTTTTTGGTACAAAAATCCTATTTAACCGATACAACCGAAAATAAGTTTGAAGAAATATTTGAAGTATTAGAAAATATGCGCTAAGTATCAATAACAACGTGCTAATACAAAAAAGTGTTAACATGAAAATATATTTTGTAACAACAATGAGAACTGGGAAAATCCACTTAACACATCTTGAATGCGTCAATTTATTTTATTTCTTATACGGATAATGTTAAAAGTAAAAATCGCAGAATCGCAATTAAAGTCGCCAGTGTGGAGAAGTTTTCGAATTATTATTCAATTATTAATTATAAGATGTCAGCCATTGCGATCCATTAGGATTGTTGCAAAGTTAGTTTCTGTGTTCAATAACTCTATTCAATAGAATTAAAAACCAGCTTGTACCGACTCCTACTAAAACGAGAGTCAGCTCTAACCTTCCCCTCCCCCCATCCCTCCTCAATCTCAAAAGGCCGGCAGCGCTCTCGAAAATCCTCTAGTGTTACGGGTGTCCATGCTGACCACCAGGTAATTCGACCGCTCGGATGCTCGGATGGACGGCGGTGGAGACCTCGATCCTGGATGCAGATCTGGCAGGTCGCCGCCTCCGAGTTTTTCCCTGTTGGCATAGCGCCAACGTATGGCTTACAGTGCCCTCGACACTTTGAGACCCATGTTATTATTATTTTTTGCTTATCAAGGGATTATCAATTAATCCTTGAAGTGAAAATAATTATAATTCAATTATGTCCTCTAATCTTTATTTTGAATTGAAATAATCAATTAAATAGGTGTTAATTAAGTTAAATGTACTTGATTGGACAGGGTCTGTCGAAAATCACTTATTTCATGATGGATTTAATTTTGCACGCCTACTAATAATACTATAAAATAACTATTGAACAGTTTATTTGCAGAAATGTTCCGTACAAACATTTTTAAAATAATTATAGCCCTTGCTTTGATATGTCTAAGTTTTCGGTGTATCGGGATTAATGGTTATAGAACAAGAAATATTTATAAACGTGAGTTTTATAATGTTTATGAGTACTCCGACTAAATTATATGGAAAACTTGATTTGAAGCGAAATTGGGATTAAAGGATAGTTGGGATAATTTGATTATTATCAAAAATGTCCAAGTCAAAGATATAGGCCATCGAATTAGCAAGCTCAAGTGACAGTGGAAAGGGCACATAATATCTAGCTCGTAACACCAGCGGCTGATGAGCCAGAAAGGTTCTTCAATGAAGACCATGCACCGACAAGCGCGGCGTTGGACGACTGACTTAAAAGTTGGACAGATGGTGGTAGGAAGCCGCTGGATGCAGTTTGCTTCCAATCTGAAAGTTACTTTGATGATGATGATGATGACGGTTAATTTGTTTTCAAAGTTGCAGGAATCAGAAATTTCAATAACTGGCCAAAAATCATTAGTTATGAACATCCTGGTTGCTACGTTGATGAAATAAGTAAAACCATAGCTTTGAACGAAAGTGTACAACCGCCTGGATATTGTTATACAGTTCATTGCCGAAAACGGGGTTTGAGCTTTAGCGCGTAAGTCTAGAACTCTTTTTGTTTGTAAAATGAAGAACACCAAGATGTTTTAGCTTGGTTCTCAAGATGAAACGGACAGGGACTGCACTCAAGCAGTTTGTGCCCAAGCTGGCGTGCCAAACGCTTCCTACTGGGAGTTGTGTTTGAG